AGCTTATTAAAAAGAAAATATTCAAACCACTGTGAAACTTGGTAAAACTCATACATGTACTGACAGGAAAACAACCTGAACATGAGCGTTCTCTTTTTAATTAAAATATAAACTCCCCAATTATTTTTTTTTAAATAGAGCCTTTCTGTTTATTTCTACACTTGCTTGAATATGCTGTGCAGGGAAGTATATTAGAAAGAAAGAGCTTCTCTACATGAGACATTTGTTGTGCATTCATGACTGCTCACTCATAGAAGCCGGTAAGTCCTTTTCACGGTAGCATCATCCTTCACAGACTGTCCTGTGTTTTCCAGCCATTTTTGTGACTCTTTAAAAAGAGTGAGCAAAGTCAACTACAAATTTCAAAAGCAGAACAAACCAGGATGAAAATCCTGTGCATTGTCACAATTCTCCATTGTCACAATTCAACTACATCACAGTGCCATGCTGTGGTTGGATAATGAAATATATAGAAAAGCAGAGAAAAAGAAACTTGGTGGGGACAGGGGATAATGCCGCCCTGCCCCCCAGAAAAAGGATGCACCCTTCCCACAAAGAAAACAGAAAAAAACGTTCCAGTAAAGTAGCAGGTTAAACATCCCATGCCAAAAAGTCAAAAGAATGAAAAAGATGTTTAGGTTCCTCAAAGTCAGATCAAGGTTTGATCTGGTCCCTACACAGTCCTACACATCCCAGTCCTGTTTTTTTTTTATTTTCAGGTGTTGCTGGAAACATTTGCTCAGTATGCTTCTGTCCATCCCCCTTCTTATGTATCTTCTCCAAAACAGAAGGTCATTTTAATGCAAATTTTCAACACAAAATGGAATGTAATCATGAAATCTGTGGGTAAGCCTCTTGCCAGTGGGACAAAACTATGCTTTTAGTAATATTAGTGAAGAAATCAGGCCAACAGTTTGGGGTCTGCACTTAGAATAACCTCTGCCCCTTTACATTTTATGTTAGGATATTGTGCATTCATTAAGACTTCTTGTCAAATAGAGCATCAAATCATTATGTGTGTGCACGTTCTCAAATTCATCTTGTGAACAAATGGAATTATCCAGTGGCCAAGTTCATCACTGCCCCAGTGGTCTAATCCTCATGTCTGGGGAGCTAGTTAGTTTGCATAATTTGTAATGGCTCTTTACCTTCTGTTTTGGATCTTGTCGAAGCATGACAGAGCACAGCTGCCAGCCATACTTTGGAACTGCCAGCCCATTGAGCTCTCTCTCTATATATCAGGATGCTCCAACGTGGTATCCATAGCACCGATACACTGCGGAAATAGACTTCACAGACACCTCTCCTGCTGTCCTCCCCCTATTTTTTTGCTGTATTTCTTAAGATATTTTTAAATGTGGAGGTTGGTATGTTGGAAAACAAAGTTTGGTGCTCAGGCCTTGTATTAGGTACCTGGGCAAGTAGCTTGCCTTCTGGGAAGTGCTTTGTGACCAGCAGTGTGCCCCATGGAAGCCATTTTATGAATGGGCAAGTGGCACCCTGTGGCAGCCATTTTGTGAAGGCACCCACAACACTGAAAACTCCCAATGATCCCACTGCCCCAAAAGTTTTGGGACTGCTGACACCATCTAGCCACATGTAAGTATTTATTCAATTTTTTTTCCTAACCATGCAATGCATATGGGATTATGTTTTTTTTAAAAAAAACACTGTTGTTATACTGCTCTTTCTATTGCTGCTGTTTGTGTTCCAGCTGAGAAGGCTTTAATTAACTACTTGTTTTAATTGATTTATCTATGCCTTTAACATTTGCAAGTCACTCTGAGCATATTTTTTCTTCATTTAGGAAAGAAAATAACAAATGTATGAAGGCAGGATACATAAAAAGCACTGAGATGCCCATAAGCATCTTACATCTTTGTCACTCAGTTATTAGACAAACCAAGAATCCCACAGCCCTATCTTTAATGGCATACTGTTGCCAAGAGATCAGTCTATATAAGGTTTGTGAGGTCAGATCACTGAATGAGAAAGGCTTTGAAGAAAAGTCCATTATTCCAGAAGACAAGGGCATTAGAATTTCTCAGGGGAAGTGGCAGCAAATATTCTTAACCATTTAATTTCCCTAACCTAAAATCTGGTAGACTTTTTGTTCATTCACATAGCTAGGAAATTGTTGGCATGTTTCATGTTGTTTTGGGTGACTGTTATAAATACAACAGCCTGGTGCATATATAATAGGAAGCTAGGGATTCTTCTTCTTCCATGTGCCAGAAGAGGCAAGCAGAAGTATCTCTCCTTGGCTTGAAGCAACTGCAAGTCACCATGATGGCTGACATCAGGGAATGGTGGTTTGTTTAAACTCCAGTTAGTAAATAATCAGGAAGTGAAATCAGGATTTGTGCTCATAAATCCTGAGTCTGGTTCGCATAGGAAACTGTGGTTTGTTTACAATAGAAAATAAAACTTTGGATTTTTTCAGTCTAGCAAGCAGAAGAGAAACATAAAGGAGGATTAACTGTTCCTAATGTTTCCACACCTTATTCACATAATGGGAAACCATGATTTCCTGTACATTAAACATGTCCATTGTATCTAGGTTTTAAAGGACTTATCTTCACAGGAAGACCAACTGAGGCTTTTGCTTTCATTTTCTGTGTGGGTGTTTTACATACGGCTCCCTCCTACTTTCTCTTCCACTATACAAACACAAGGGGATACTGTGGTATAGCTGGGATATAGCAGAACTGCAAAACTACATGATCTTCTCATAGTACAGTGGTACCTTGGCTCACAAACTTAATCCATTCCAGGACTCTGGTCGTGACCCAAGTCAAATTTCCCCATAAGGTTCAATGTAAATAAAGTTAACCCATTCTGTAAATATATTTTTTTAAATCACAAAAATTTGAAACAAAGTAACAAAGAACAAAGTATAATACAGTAGAGAACACTAACCTAGGTGGCAGGGGGAGGTTATTGTTTGGAGGGAGAGTCCAAACAATAATCGTGTGATAGCAATTGTGCTGGGGGTGGGGGGAATGGCCACGATCATGCTTGGGGTTTGGCAGGTGTGATCGCGGGTGTGCTCTGGGGGGAGACGGGAATGATTGCAGGCACGCTCGTGCATGGGGAGACGGGCACAATCGTGCTGGGGGGAAAGCGGGGGCAATCATGGTCGTCACCCAATGCGGAGTTTGTGAACTCAGGCAATTTTTCTCTGAAATTTCCATTTGCACCCGTTTTGGTCGTGAACTTAGGTGTTCGTGAGTCAAAGTACCACTGTAACTTATCACAAGATTAGGAAGTAATAACTGACTTTCCTTGTCTAAAAAGGAAAGCTGCGAAAAGTACAGAAAAGGCCCTGGACAATAACATCATGTAAAATACCCACAAAGTCCATCTAAGTCTTCTTGCTGAAAAATACCCATGCATTTTGTTTTTCGGTTGATATTTTAGTTTTAATATTTCCCTTGTATTTTATCATGCTTCTTTTATAGTTGTAATTGTTATGAACCATCCAGAGAGCTTTGGCTTTTGAGTGGTATAGAAAGGTTAAAAAAATAACAGACCTAAGGATTAGAACAGATTTAAATCAATAAATGAATTACTTAAAGCTTTAACGACAAATTAAAATGGGTGGGGAATATTATTTCAAATTATCTGGCTTTGGGATGAGGGAGAAAATAGGCATTTTTTAGGAAAGACATGTGAAGAGGCACAAACCACACAAGCTGTTCACAGAAAAACAGACTTTGGAGATACACCGATAGAGACTCTATATAGATAATGATGGGAACAATTTATTAGGCCCAGCTGTTTAGGGACTTGTTGGCTGTACAATATTTTTATAATACAAAAAGGGAAAATAAACCAGACTATTTGTATTCTAACCCCACCCCTAAACCCTCCACTAGAGAGACTCAGATAAGATTTAAAGTAAGTTGAATTGCTACTTGTGAATTATATATTTTCTATGCATAAATGTCATTTCCACAATTCATTTTAGTTTTAGTATTGCTTTTTCATAACCTCAGATATGTTTGTGACAATTAAGGGGAGGGGCAAAGCAAATTTGAGATGCAGAGACCAAAATGCACCAAAGTTAGGGGAACAGAGTGTACAAAAACCTTATCCTAAGACTATCCAAACCCCAAGACTTTCTGAATTTCTGAGCCTTCAAGGATAACCTAATATCCGGCCACAATAACACATTTGCTACAACAATAAGAACTGGAAACTTATTAGTAGGATATTATTGAAAAGTAAAATTAACAACAGAAATGAAAATGTTTGGTAGAGCATACTAAATATGTAGAACGTCAACACCTAATCATTAGGTAAAATCTGATCACTTTTTTTTTTAAATCTCCTTTATGGAAGCATTAAACATGAGCACAGATGCATTAGCACATTAGATGAGTTTTGCAGAATATGCTAATTGAACTGAGTCTACCAGTGGCCTAAAGACATTAAAAATATACACCCACTTAAATTAATTACTACGGTACAGTAATGAGATTCTCTAAAGAGCAGGACAGAGCAGAACAGATGCATGCATAAAACAAGCCCCTTCTCTCTATATTAATCAGTGTGAACTCCCATGGCAGCCACATTATCTTCAGAGGTACTGAAGATGGTTCATAAGGGCAAACATGTCTAATGAAACAGTTATACTTCCTCTTAATTCATCTGGGCAAATAACACACCCAGCAGCTGATTCAAGCACTCCCAGGGTAGAGGAAGTGACCACCAAACCAATTCTTACAACAGTTCTACCAAAAGCCAAAGTGCTTTCTGATTCCACCAGAGTTTTCTTCTCTTTTGGTAAAGAGGCTGCAGTTCATTAGGTATCAGGTATCTCTTCTAACACATTACTTCATGCTCCTAACTTCACTTTCACCAGCTTTACATTGAGGAAAGAACTCTCTGTATTTTGTCTGTGCATGTGCTAAAAAAATCTTCTGATCTTTAAGAGAAATGATTACAATGGGGTAAGGGCATGAGAAGGAATTGATGTTGCCAAGATTGCAAATTACCTGGGTAATACCTGGCGAGGCCAGTTGCGCTGCCAAAGACTTGCCATAGCAAGGTTTGATCTTCCTCTCTGTTCTTTTTAAAGACTTCATCTAAGGCTGCTGTCCAGTTCAGTTCATTCAATACAATTGTAGCTGCAAAAAACAGTTTAAAATATTTCATATTAGAAAGCCAGATGCAAAAACAATGTGGCAGTAACTGAATATTTATGCACAGAAATATTACACTCTGTTTTCTGCTTCTTTGTAGGATGCATTGACTCCTCTCTGGATGTCCACTCTATTTTTCTGTACTACTCTTCTGCAGCAAGCCATTTATTGTTGGGAATTTTCTTTTGTGGAATAGTTTGTGTGAGCCGTCCCGAGGCTCTGTGAGCCATCCCGAGACTATATAGCAAGGGGACAGCATATAAAAACTTTAAATAAATAAATAGTTTCAAGGTTTTCTTTGTTACGGTGCTTTTTAATGAATGTTTAGCATAAGCCTCTAGACTATCATTTGTATTTTGTCTATTAATAGTTTTATATCCCAATTTTCAACACAGTCTGTACACAATTTTGAGAAAGTTAACTTTATAATAAAACAAATACAAATAAATAATTACATACCCCCAATATAAAAGTGTAGTGAAAGGGAGTCAGCAGAATTTTTTTTTTTTTTAAAGAAAGGAATCTAAAAGCAATTTACACAGGAATTTAAAAGCCTGGCAAAATTAGAAGACCTTTGCCTGGAACCCAAGTGACATCAAGGTATGCATCTGGGGAGATAATTTCATACTTGGAATACCACTATTTCATAGGCCAGAGGATCCTCAGCATGGTACTTTTGGCTCCATAGAGCTGCAGGCACTGCCAAAGGGGTCCTAATGTATATTTTTAAAACATCTTTTAATATCCACACATAAATTTATATTAATTTCATACTACTTTCTAGCACATAGACATCCACAAAAGGGAACCAAATATGCAACCCTATTCATATGCCAAAATCATTGTAAGGTCCTGAATCCATTGCACTACAGAAGTGAATGTCAGTCCTCCAATTATTCATTGCTAATCTTATAGCGGTAAAAAGGGCAGACAGCATAATTTCTTCTTCCATTCCTTAATTTCTAAAAAGCAGGTAAGCAATTATGGTGTGTGTACATCAGTAAATGTTAATGATTGTCCCGCTGCAAAATTGTATCTATGTAATGACTTCATCCCAAAAGGAAGCAGCTACAGGGCATTATCAAACACATGTTTAAAAGCTACACTGAACTATTAGACAAGTCCTTATCAAAGAGATGTTATAATGCCCAATAGACAAACAGGGTTTTGTTTTTTCTGAATAAGATGCAGTCTAAAATGCATAGACATGATGGGTAGACCCTGAAGTGATAATGCACCCAGTTAGGCATTTTGCAGCAGTACCCTCCACAGTATCTCAAATTCCCAAATGTGCCTTTAACTCCAAAAATGTTGTTATCCTGCAGCTTTTTTGTCTGTACCCCCACCCTGCAATTGCATCTGAGATAACGGGGCATACAAAGAAAAGCCACTACCAAAGATCTTAGCATACAACTGCCTATTCCAGAGTCTTTCATCAAAGCTAATAATGTTCATCCGATCAACATGAAGCTAGCTCTATTGTTCATACAAGATTTTGCAAGACACTGGTCAGAGAATCTTTTGCATCTGCCTCTGCCTTCTCTCTGCTACCTCAGAGCTGTCTTTCATGGTCTTCTTGTTGAATTAAGTACTTGCTTGCTTTGCTGGTGTGGAGGCCTTAGTTCAGCACCAGTCCACCTTCCTTATTTTACCTTGCCTCTTCCAGAGCTGAAGCAGAGGTTTGGAGACAGTCAATGCTAACCTACCTCTGCTTCATGTACTGACTTGCTAGCTTGCCACAGCTTGGATCTCTGAAGGGCTGTTCATCTCCACCTGCAGCTACCCAGGAAGAGAGTCCTCCTAGGCCTGGTACACATGAGAAAACAGTCCACCATGGATTGTCTAAGCCACAAAGACCCACAGTGCACACTGGTAAGCATACTGCATACTTAAAGCCCTGTTCCAGAATGACCATCATACAGAACACTGAGATACATAATACCCCACATTTCCAAACAAAAATATTCAAAGGAGCTGCAAACTTAATCTCAGTTATAGACAATTACAGAAATGTATCACAGCAAAGTATGCTGGGCGTACAAACCTGCTAAATACATTTATCAATATACATTTTCTTAAATGTTTGTTTAAAGAGAATGCAAAGGAGATGATGGGGTGGTGGGTCAGAGAGCTAAATGGGTAATGAGGCCTAAACTGTAATTATGCAGCAACTTATCTTCCCATCTATATTTGAACAAAACAACCAGTCACTGCCATATTTGAGGGAACTCCAGACAGAATGCTTTCCCGTCCTGTCAGTTCAGCTATCCTTTATTTTTACCTGTGGTAACAGTGAGAGGGGCTCTTCCTCCTCCTCCTCCTCCTTTACCAGAGCCAGCTCACCAGTAAAAGGAGGCACCATGGCAGCCAACTGGTCAAAACCCAAGTCCCATGGCTTTCATTTAAAGTTGTTGGGCTTTTTGGTCAACTTTCAATTGCTGTATCTAGGCTAATCAAATGCTTACCTTAGGGGACATAGCCAGGAGCAGTCTTTCTGATGCCCCTGTGCCTTCATTAGCCATGCTCCCCAAAGGCAGTGTCTGATTGGCTGAGATGCTACAACTCCCAGTTAAGCCAGTAGTACCCCTGTGAACTAAAAAGGGACAGCCGGAGGCTTCAGACTCCACCAGTCGGCTGTCACAACACTTCCTTTTACCAGGTTGTCAGCTCTGATAAAGGAGGAAGAGCTTCTGCCACCACCTGCTATCATGTGTTGGGGTCCTTGGGGGATGCTCCAGACCACAAGGCTGCTAGCTTGTAGCCATGGTCAACCTTGGATGTGCCACTGCAACCAACTTTTTAAATGTAGACCTCTAATCTTATTCATGTCTCAGCCTCGGTGGGCTTTCCAGAACTTATATCTTGTTCACAGGCAGCTAAAACAGGGGATGTAAGTATGGTCTCAGTGATAACTATTTCAAGAATAAAAGAGAGTAAAAGAGTAAAGTAGAACCCCAAAATAGCATTTGTGTCCATTGCAACAGTTAACATAGGTTCCTTTCCTGATGAGACACTAGATGAATAAACCAGCTTCCCCAAACATTGAGGAAAAGACAGTGAGGGAGAATATAGCATTAAACTGTAACATTAGAATTGTAAAGCTGATTTGGGGCCAAAATCCAAGAGTACGCTCATTACTGTAAGTTTACAGTGTTTTCATGTTTATGGATGTGATCATTTGCAGAGAGATCAGCTGTGTGCACATCAATATTCATGAGCTGGGCCAGCATCAGAATTAACTTGAAATACAAGAACATTTATATTCATAAGCATGATCAGATAAACACTAAGTGGCCAAAGAAATAGAAATTCAGATTCCTAAAATTGACCCTGGCCAATTCTAGGACTATTCACAAAAATGTGAAGAGAGCAACTCTTAGGAAGATTTTTTTTTGTGGGGGGGAGGGGGAGAACAGACTGAGACTGTGTTAGGACCAAGCTCACAAATGAACACTGCTGCATTAATAATCGACAGAAAAAAGCAATGGGGCTTAATTATGATACTGATAAATAGCTATTCCTTTCATTCTGCTTTACTCAGTCACAAATGCATCCCTAATACACCAAAATAACTCTCTCATGCTAGGCAACAGCTGGCATTCAGTTAATTGGAAAAGAACAAGGTTTTATTTGTCAGATGGAGCATTATCACTTTTTCTTTGTCTTTTCTGATGGTGTTTCGAAGCTGGAGGAAAACAGGTTGCAAAGCTGGCAAACTATACATTCATTAACAAAGGATTAAAGAAAAGGGTGGCTAAGAAAGGTAAACATGCATGCAAAAAACCCACTTTTTTCAATTATGATTTTGCTGAACAGCCGTCTTCAGAACACACCATCATTTATTCATAACAGCTCTTGGCTCCCATTTACATGGGAGCCATAAGAAATTCAAATTGGAGCTCACAAGCTCAGCTTAGCTCTTAGACAAAGCTGCAGCATTCTAATGCAAAGGTTTATACCTTAAGTGGCATTCAAAGGTCTTGCTTATACAGAAGTTAGCACTAGCATAAAACTAAGCACTAATGTCTAACTCTCTCAAGTAATTCCAGTTTGTTTGCTGCTATATGTATGGACAAAAAAAGTTCACCATTAAGCTTCACAGTGTAATTGTTAAGGACAAACAATATTTTGAGACCGATTCCTGGAAAATGTCATATTGTAATTTCTTCTGAGCTATAACCTTGTTGAATGTAGTAAAATAAAGCTTTTATCTCTCTAGCCAGCAACCCACATATATGTATAGGCAACTTATTTAGTTCTATGTTTCTACAAATATTTTCATTTGATTTTTATTTCTAAAGTTATACAGTCCATAAGGAAGATGTTCAGTTTTTTTAAAAAAAATCTTAATAGGTTTCTAAAAAGTCACAGGTAGGTGCTGCCTATCTTTAAGCCCCTCTAACTGAGTCCAGCTATAAGGCACAAAAATAATTGAAGAATTCTATTTTCTCAGGATCAACATGTTTCAGAGCGCGAATGTGTTTGGATCAGGTTTTAGAACAGACTGTTAGAATTTGTCAGACCACAAATACTGTTAAACCTTAACAAAAGACCAATCAATATGATGCCACACATATTTCACATGGCATAGTCCTCTTTGGAAAAACAAAAATAAACAGAGAAACAAACAAAAAAGGAAATTCTGGACAGTCTCAACAGTAAATATATCTATTTTGGACCAGCTCCTATTCATTTTAATAATAGCAGAACAGGAAAATGTTTCCACATTCCAATAAATCCATATTAACAATGCATTCACTACTTTTGTTCCAAAATGTCACCAGAAAAGCAGGTTACTTACCTGTAACTGATGTTCTTCGAGTGGCCATCTGTACATTCACACATATGGGTGCTGTGCCTGCGCAGTGCCCAGGCCGGAAAGATTGACAGCTAACGGTTTTGGTGGGAAAACTCCGCTCCCCTCCCGCTCAGCAGTACATATAGAGCGGAGTGTCTGCCATTTCCCCCCGTCTTTGGAGACCAAA